AAATATCAATTGAAATTTTTCCCCAAAATACTCTTTTGGGAAAATTTAAATCTCTAGCGGGCTGCAGCTGTCTGGCCGCACCGAGCGCAGCTGCACCACCGGCACCGGCCCTTCTGCGCCCGGGACCGGACCGCGGTGCGCGGAAAGCTTCCCCCGCGCGCTGCAGTCGGCAGCATCCCCGGGGAACCCCGCGGCCGTGACGTGGCGCAGCGTGGCCGACAGCCCTTTGCCCCGCGGGGCTCGCCGAGGCCCGGGGCTGCCTCTGGTCTGGTCTGCTTCTGAGCCGAGTGGCTTTCCATTCGGTGACAAACTGGGAATAGGTCGGCTATATGGCCGAGCCGGGGGCTAATCCTATAGGGATATCCCGCTATGTGTGGGAGAAGGACTGCTGAGCGAGAGAGATGACAAAATGTCGCAGAACACTGCTCCATAGTCCGTGCATTTGGCCTGTGCGGGATGCCAACGACCTCTCTCATCCAGTACGCTTTAGCAAAAAAAAGCACGCTTAAAACGAGCAGCGGTTTTTGTCCATGGGCGTGCCTACCTATTTCGTAAAGGTGCAGATGGTAAAAACACTCTGGAAAGGGCGAACGTTTTTCCCCTTTTTAAAAAGGTGTGTTCGGAGAAGTCGCCCTTCTCCACCAGTGTTTTTCTTTCCTTTTTTTCGTATGAGGGGGTGAGATTGTCCACATCAATCAAGTAAGGGCTCCGAGGTTCCTTTTTTTCGGGAAGCGTCCGTAGAGTGGTGTCGCTGCTGCCGTGTTTTGAAGCCAGATATTCTGCTGCCGATCAGTCGTTGATCGATCGCCCACGTGGGGCGGCCAGAGTGCGCCCTGGAGCACCGCGACCGACGGCTGAAGGGGTTTGTGGCCTCGCTGCTGGGGCGGGTCGGTGGGCAGTCGAGGCAGACGTCTCCAAGGCCAGCCGCCCCTGCTTCGAGGAAAGTGGCGGGGTCAGGCGAGGGCCAGGACCTGGGGGAAGGCTGGGTGAGCCCTATGGGGCAGCCTGCCGTTTTGGGGATCCCCGACGGCCGGGTCGGTGAACGGCCGAGGGGGCCCCCACTCGAGCAGGGCGGGGAGGACCCGGGGGGGGGGGGTCAGTGCCTCCCGGTGGGCGAGGTCGTGGCCGCGGAGCCCGCGGAGCACACATCAGCCAGCAAGCCCCTAATGCGCGGCCCGCGCGATATCGAGTGTCATCATAAAACATTTCTGCAAGGCTGCTGCCCTTTGCACTCCGCGCCATGCCATCGTGTCGCGGCTATCACGACGAGCCGTCGCTCTGCCGAACTTTTCCAGCGCAGTAATTGCTCCACCTTCTTTCCGCCCGCCACGCGGGGTGCTATCGCGGTCGCCGCCGGCCCCGCCCGCACCGCGTGGCGCTCAGCGCCCCGATTTAGACGGGCGGCCGCGCCCTCGTGCGCCAAATTGGGGAAGGGTTGATTGCGGCCGCCTCTCTGGTTCCGCCGGATCTGCGGCGGCCCCGCGTATCTGTGCCGCGCCGGCCCGGAGTTGAGCAAACAAGCAGTGTATTTTTGAATCCGCGCGCGCGGGCGGGCGTTGACGGTGGCGGCGGCCCGTATGACGTCCCCGGAGACGACGCCGCTGTTGCCTCACGACTGTAAGGTCGCCGTCACAACAGGGGCGTGTCGCTTCCGGCCGGCCGCGCGGATGGAAAGATGGATGACGACGGGGCGGGCAAAGGGGTGGTGGTGCTGATGCTGTCCGCTCGAGCAGGGGGTGGAGGGGGGGGTGATTCGACAAAGGTGCTCGCGCGATTAAGCGATAAAGCTGCGCCGTGTAGAGTTTATATTTACCCAGCTGCCCCGCCCGGTTCGGGTTACAGTGTAAGAACTGCGCTCTCGCGTGGATTCCCCGGCCAAAATATTGGTGCAGCCCGCTGCTCGCTGGCTGTTGTGAAGCCCCACCTCGTGTTCCTCATAGTCGCCGTCCTTAACCCGACCGGCTTAAGAGGCGCCCACAGCATCCGAAAGCCGTCGTTGTCCGACGCCAAACTGAATGCACAAAATAACCCTCCGGTGACCAGAGATAGCCGGTCTGATAGCGCTCAGTAGTGGCACCCCGCCCGCCCCGGCGTGGGATATAATTGCCCGTTTCACGAAACGGCTGCAGCTCAGGCTGGAGACCGGCACGGCCCGGCCAGGGTAAACACCGAAATAGCGACACAAAGAGCTTCCGAAAACAACGTGTTTGTTTGCCTTCCAAGAGCGAGCGAGAAGGAGAGAGAGAGAGAGAGAGAGAGAGAGAGAGAGAGAGAGAGAGAGAGAGAGAGAGCATGTGCCATGCTCACCCCCGTATCTGCGTCCGAAAACGACATGAACCTCTCGCTCCAACGCTGTCTCCCACCCGACGGGTGCGACAAGGGCCGTGGGCGTTCCCCGGACGCGGCTCTGTCTGGCCCCTCCCCCCACCCTGCTTGCTCGGGCTCCCATTGGTCGAGAGGCGCGACGCGCAGCGCTCTCGGGCGGCGGGCGGCAGAACTAGCGGCTGGACGGCGGCGCGCTGGAGCGGCTGGAGCCGGCCGAGCGCTCCACAAGTCGTCAGTTGAAGACAAGCTTGCCAGCGAGTCAGACGTGCAGTGCAGTGACAAAGTGACAATCATCATGCAGTGCGACAAACTTACCGCCGCGGCCTGCTCCGAGCAGCGCCCCCAGCCAGTGCTCAAGTTCAGCATCCGCGCCCTTCTGGGCGAGGACTTCGACAGCGACGTGCCTCGCGCGCCGCCCACACCCACGCCGAGCCCGACGCCGTCCACCCCGTCCAGCGAGTGCGACTCGGAGGCGGACTCGAGGCGCGCCGACAGCGACAGCGAGAGCAGCGCCAAGAAGAAGCACGAGAAGCCCACCTACTCGTACAACGCCATGATCATGTTGGCCATCCGCAACTCGCCCGAGAAGCGCCTCACCCTCAACGGCATCTACGAGTACATCATGCAGAACTTCCCTTACTACCGGGAGAACAAGCAGGGCTGGCAGAACTCCATCCGCCACAACCTGTCGCTCAACAAGTGCTTCGTCAAGGTGCCCCGCCACTACGACGACCCCGGCAAGGGAAACTACTGGATGCTGGACCCCAGCGCCGACGACGTGTTCATCGGAGGATCCACCGGCAAGCTGCGCCGCCGCGTCCCCGCCAACAGGAGCCGCCTCGCCCTGAAGCGCGCCGCCGCCGTCGCCGCCGGCCACGGAGCGCCCCTCGCACCCTGGGTCAGCCCTTACGCCGCCATGTACTCCGCCGGCGGCTCTATGTCCGTGAACCCCGCCATGCACCACCCTCTGCGCGTGCTGACCCCGCCGTCATCTCCCCCGCACGCCTACCAGCACCACCACCATCAGCAGCACCACTACTCTGCCGGCGCCATGCAGCACCTGCAGGTGCCCCACCTGCAGCTGCAGCACCTGCACAACATGCACCAGCAGCAGCACCAGCAGCAGCACCCTGCCATGTCGTGGCCGTTGCCCCGGCATGTTTCCCAGCAGAGGGTGTAATTTGCTTAAAGCTTGTGAAAATGCAGGAAGCTAATGTGATACAAAGACTGAGTATGTGTGTGCTTATCTGTGAGTGTGTGTGAATGTTGTTTATTACCTTTATTTTCCTTTGACTGCCTATATGAATTGACTGATGGTGGTTGTTCTAGGCTGTGACTGTTTGTATGAGATTTTTTTTATTATTGACTTTGCATTTTGATCTATTAACGTTCAGTGGTTCTAAATTAGTTGTTTAGGCCAAAGAGTTAGTGTAACGCTGATTAATTTATTACCAGTTCAAATGTTGTGTATATTTTTTTACTGTTAAGGATCAATGATTTTGACGAGTGTTGTTTGTGATTGTTACCAACTTGATTTTTTATTGATAATTATATATCAAATTTCCCCTTATATTTTTGTCGTCAATCCCATCCTTTAACCCTCAGAAATGAAAAATGAAAAAGTTTACGACTGAGAAAAGAAATTATAAAAGAAATTATCATTTACATTCACTATTTAAAAATAATTGAAGAAGAAAGAAATACACATTTACACAATTGGAGCAAAATATTTTCATATAATTAGAAATCATTATTGCAAGACGCCTGAATAGTGGAGAAAACGAGATTATTAGTCTTACACTGAAAAGAATCATAACGCAATAAATTTGAGGAACTTATACCGAAAGTAATGCAGATGGAGTCAGTTTTTCTTTTGTAATGGATGGAAAGAACACATGTAGACCTAATATTTGAGATGTAAAGTAGAAGTATTTCTCATGAATTGGGACCGGTGCTGCACAACAGTACACATCTCAGAAAAGCACAATAACACAACAGGACCCGAGTGTTCAGCCGACGGCCTCAATAAAGTACACAGCCAAACACTTTATGACACATTTTCTCATAGACTAAAATAGTCTCAACAATGGCATCACATTTTTAAAATTTCCAATCCAAAGCTCATTTGGTGAATTATGAAAGGATTGCAAACAGAATTTGGTCACTCAAGAACGACAACAAAAAAATTAAGCTGTGTACTAGGTTTTCTTTTGCACTGTACCTACCAGCTCAAGGAACGGTTAGCACAGCACAGCGGGGCGGCCTGTGCCTCTGGCCTGGGCCAACGAGCGGGGCCCTCGTCACAGGCGTGACAGGTATGCAGTTGAAAGAAAGTCTGGGCAGTGCAGCACCATAGGGACACTGTGAAAGTTATACTAATTGGAAGCGGGTCATCCACCAGCCTCGGAGGGGCCCTTTGGACGCTCACATATATCTGTCCAAGTCTGAGAAATCGTGGCATAATTTAATTGTTTGTTCGATATCGTAGGCAGGTAGATACACGCGCAGACACGCATTCTTGTGTGTCATCGCCCGGCATATATGCACGGACCTTATGCAGTGCGCGGCATTTCAAGTCAAAGGAATGCAAAGAAAATAGCGCGGTATTGTCTGGTGAAAACAGGTGAAGAATGTTGACCTGTATTCGGGCGCTGCGTCCTCACCGCCCTACATGTCAAATGGGTTGCCTATCCCCGGACTCGCGGGCGTTTGCAGAGTGCTCGACCCCTTCGACCTGCCTGTTGGGGCTGCTCCGTTTGGACTCTGCCGAGCTCACACTGTGGTGGTATGGCCATGGGCAGTATGCAGGTCCTTGACTTCTTCTAGGACCGGCCAAGTTAACCCCACCCCAGGGAAGGACGTTGGGAAATGTCTGAAGGTCGAACGGCTCTCTGCGGTCCACGTTCTTGCTGTAGGGGAAGCGGAATGCATATTCACCCCACCCCCACCCTCATTACTAGTCAATAAAAGTAGCAGAAACACTGAGCAAAAACACAGCAGGTGTTGCTTCCGAACACAACCGAGCGTTCGCCGAAGTGGACAGTGGGGCTGCTCGGCAGAGCCGCCCTGTGGTGCCCAGTAGTGTGTCTGGACGGAGCGGGGCCTCCTGGGGGCCTCTATCCACCTCCTGGGGCCCCCTACCAGTCTACGACCTACCGGGCCTGGGTTCAAGGCGACGGAGTGTGAGGAGATGTGCCATTGCGGCGGATGGTTGCAAGTGTCTGGATCACAGGAAAACACTGAGACTACATGGTGACTCACCCTCACCCAGACTACCGTGAGTTTGTGCGTGTGTTAGAGAGGGGAGGGGGGGGGCGTAATCCTTCATCGCCTAGAATTTGTAATATGTACACTCATGTACGTACACCCTATTTGAATCATACCATAACAGGTGGTTGATTCACGCCGCGCACTGTCGTAGTTATACATACAGTACCGCATGCACGCATGCGGGCATGTTGCCTGCTCGCACGGCGCCGCAAGGAGCCGCCAGCAGCGAGAATAGGCAAACCCACTCGCGCCCGTGCTTATGTTATCGTTTATGATTTAATTTCAGAGAGGGGCCTTTTTGAAATTCCCAGAAAATTGTATCCTTAAACCAAGGAATTTTCTTTTTAAAAAATACAAGGTAATTTTCGACCTTGGTTATAAGGTTTTTCCATTAATTTCAAGAAAATTAAGTTGATCTAAAGAAATTTTTACATGTATTTTTTTAGGTGAAAATAGCGTTGAAGGAACGCATTTCGCCTTGTTCCAAGACTACGGGTGTACGTACACTCATGTACGTACACCCTATTTGAATCATACCATAACAGGTGGTTGATTCACGCCGCGCACTGTCGTAGTTATACATACAGTACCGCATGCACGCATGCGGGCATGTTGCCTGCTCGCACGGCGCCGCAAGGAGCCGCCAGCAGCGAGAATAGGCAAACCCACTCGCGCCCGTGCTTATGTTATCGTTTATGATTTAATTTCAGAGAGGGGCCTTTTTGAAATTCCCAGAAAATTGTATCCTTAAACCAAGGAATTTTCTTTTTAAAAAATACAAGGTAATTTTCGACCTTGGTTATAAGGTTTTTCCATTAATTTCAAGAAAATTAAGTTGATCTAAAGAAATTTTTACATTATTTTAACGTCATTTGCGTTTAGTCAAAGACAGTTTTCCTTGTATTTTTTTAGGTGAAAATAGCGTTGAAGGAACGCATTTCGCCTTGTTCCAAGACTACCATTTTCTGGGTGTGCTACTGCTGGGTGCTGGGTATACCAAAACTATTTCAAAACCGCCCAAATGTCCCATATCGGTTGCACTTCGTTCGGCGGCTGCAATATTGCGGAAAGGGTTGCCCATTCATTGCCACAAATGGCTTGACACTCGAGGCCTCCCGTCCCTTGTCGCGCGACACTGTTTGATTCGGGTCATGCCCTGGTCAATACGTCGCGTCACGCCTCGTGATGCGAAAACAAGGGAAGAGTCAATGCATAATGACGACGAGGAAGGGCCTCGCCTGCAAGGTCGCGCCGAGGACCTTGAGGGCATTGTGCCTTCCGCGGTGGTCCTCGGGGCGTCCTTGGGGCCGCGCAGGGTGGCGCGCGCCCACCACCGGGGCACCAGGGCCACGCTCTGGCACGCGACTCTTCTCCCACGCCCCCCCCCCCCTCCCCCCTCCACCCCGACCACATTGACACTGACCTCGAGCCTCGAGTGTTTTGTCTCACCTCATTATTATGAATACAGGCCAGGCAATAGGCAACGTTGTTGTTCGATAATGTAAGTGCACTACACTTATGAACAAAACTATTGTCAATCCCGAAGGTTGCAGGTGCCTCCATGTAACCTACACATGTTTACATTTTGTCAGAAGCTGCCTGTTAAGCAAATGATATAAATATGTTGGTGTAGTTCAATGTTCAATAAAACGTTTGAAAATGTGAAAATGAATAGTCATACTAGATGGCTGACTCACGCCGTGCACTTTCCTAGTTATACTGTACCGCATGCACGCGTTCGGTTGGGTTGCCTACTCTCATGGGGCCGTAAGGAGCCGTGTGTGTGAGTGAGCGCAGCGAGGATAGGCAAAGCCAGCCACACCCCTGCCTGCATGCAATGCAGTATGGCTACGAAAGTACGTACAGTATAGTGCCCAGCATGAGTCCGCCACCTGGTACCATGTACAGCTACAGACCTATAAACGCTATTAATATTCTCACGTGTAAAAGCCGGAGGGGTTTGGTGGGTCGACACCGTGTTGTCAGCCCGTCTTTGGAGTTGATTGGTGTTTCTACCGGGCGTAACTGTGAATACGCCGCAGAGTTGCGGGTTTGCCTACTCTTCACACCCGTAAAGGGCCATGGCCCCTGCGGCCATATTGGGTATGCAATCCCGCAACACTGCTGCGTATTCACAGTTTACACGCGGTACCTACTTTACAGAGTCATCCGACATTTTTTTTAAATAAAAAATCTTCAAAAACGCTGACTTAACAAAGCGCCCGCAGGGTTCCGCTGAGTCAGTCTTATATGTGCATGCAGCCCACAGTCCATAGCACCACCAGCAGCGGCAGAGCGAGATGGGAATCTAAAGAGCCCGCCAAGAGTGGCGAAAACAAATGAGAAAAACAGAGACCGCATCAACCGTGTTCATCTCCACGCGCGAGCAGCACAAGAGGGGGGGGGGGCGTAAACAAACGGCGAGATCTGCATTGACCCATCTAACGCCCCGCGGCGCGATATCCGCAAACTGGGTGCGTGAATCACGCCCATGACCTTAGAAAGGCTTTACAGTTTTGCGAAAACCCCACGCATAATAATCGGCGGGGGTTTCGAGGGGACCCACCCGACTCCAAAATAATACCCGCGCGAGTTCACGTGCGCCGCAGCCCCCGGCAGCTAAAGCGTCAGCCCCACAGCGGTCCCATCTCGCGGACTTCCCGCGCCGTTTTCCCGGCCGGCCCGGGGGCCCGAGGCTTTGTGTCGATGCTGGTTGTTGTGACACTGGACGCCTATAAAAGCCTCTCCCTGGAAAGCGACTCTGGGCGCGCTATGCTGGGTGAGGGAGGCTCTGAGCGCGTGGGTGGCACAGAGGTGCTGCTGGCCGGCCGAGGGCGCAGCAACCCATCTCTCTCTCTCTCTCTTGCTCGCTCGCGCCGCAAGCACCCAGACAGGTGCGACGAGGAAAAAGGATGAACGGCACTCTGTATACTTCGAACGCGCAGGCCAGGGAGGGGGACTCCTGGCCATAAAACATTGCTGGTTGCACTTGTCGCCCCTGCGTCTGCTCGAGGGTGGCTCAGCAGTCATTACCCTTGTAAGGCCGTGGCATGCGCTGCACTCGGCCCAGCAGGGGCGCTAATGGCGCATCCTGTTGAGTGCGCGACTTAGCATCGACAACGCGCCGGCCAGCACGTATGTACCCGCCCCGGGGGCTTAACCTCGCGCCTCTCTACCTTTAAGCAGTTTAGCCTCTCTGCCCCACGGGCATTTCTCTCCCGTGCCTCTCGGTCCAGGCCCACAGGCTCTGCGCTGGACGCCGCCGAATCGTCTGCCGCAGAAGCGAATGGAG